GAATTTACTCTGTAAATCTTCACCCAGATCCTAATAAAAAAAAATAAAATAAAAACTATTGAGGTTCATTGCCATCACTAATCATAATAAATTTAACATGGATTATATATTGAAATGTATATACTGTCCTCCAATAATACATCTTTTTTTTCCCCATACATCTTTATTATGTGCTCATTAATTACAAGTGTAACTGAGTTATTTCCTTAATATTTAGCTTATCTAATGAACAAGGATGATATCTTATATTGTGTATCAAAGAAAGAGACTTTACTGCTAGTTTAGAATTCTTACATACACTTGATCTTGCACACAAATTTTATGTAAGGTCTTTATTTCTTTTTGTCATTAAATATGCAAATGTAGCAAGAAATTATTTTTTTCATTACTTCAGATATCTAATTTTGAATTGTCTTGGTATAGTCAAGACAACCACATGCGCTTTTGTGATGATTGTGTCATGAATTGAGAACTGGTGCCCTAATTTTGACCAAATATACAAATAACCAGGCTGCTGCTTAAAAAAATGTTGAACTGAGAAAAATGTTACGCTTTTAATTGAATTGTCTCTTTTATATATATAGATATGAAATTAAAAAATGAAGGACCTAGTCCTGAAGAATACTGATTAAATAATCACATCATATATGATAGAATAAAATGTAGCCCAGTCCTGTGCCATCTTCATGATTATTGGCACTGTTTGAGTCCATTTTGTGGCTGTTGTGTCCATCCATTTCACTGAGGATTTCCTTAGTTTTCACTGACCCTCTAATTTACCAAACATGATGTCCTTCTATAATTTATAAAATCTAGTGATTGGTTTTACCTGATGATGTTTCCAAAATAAGCAAGTCTTAAGTCTCACCATCCTCACTTCTAAGGAGCATTCTGGTTGTATTTCTCCTAAGACAGATTTTTTTGTTCTTTGGGCAGTCTGTGGACTATTCAGTATTCTTTACCAACATCACAATTCAGATGTATCAGTAGTTCTTTTGCTTTCTTTTTTCATTGTCTAGCTTTCATATGTATGTGAGGTGATTGAAAGACCACGAGTTGGTTCAGGCACACCTTAGTCATCGAAGTGACATCTTTGCTTTTAAAACTTACAGGGTATCTTTCGCAGCAGATTTAGCCAATGTAATGTGTCACTTAATTTCTTGACTACTTCCGTTACTGTAAAAGTCAAGGAAAGGTTTATATAAGGAAGGAAATTTTCTTTGTTGGTTACCAGGGGTGGGAGGGTAGGGTAGGGAGCACTGTCAGATAGATAGAGATAAGTATTGATTTGGGTGAAGAGAAGGGCAGTGTACCAAATGTGAGTGATCAGTATGGTGGCATTGAGGAAG